GGGTAATATTTCTGTACTTAGAAACAAAATATGTTAATTGGCTCTAAAATGTGGTTTGGATTGAAACTTTTCACTGGATTTTGTAAAACCAGGTGAGAAATGAAAATAACTGAGTTGTAATTCTGACCACAACTGATCTCAGACCTGTGCTTTGGGGGAAAAAGATGGTTTAGTTTGTCTCCTTTAATTCATCTGTTTCCAGAGGGAGGCGCCAAATTTATTTCTCAAACTCGTCCTCAATGAGAAGGTTGAGGTCTTCAGCTCTCCTCTTCCTGCTGAAGTAGTGGACCACCACGGCCAGCAGAACCAGCGACAGGACGAAGCCGCTGCCCAGCGTCACTGTGGTGATGTTGGAGGAAAACATCTCCCTGAACCTCCAGGTTTCTCCGTCCGATCTGGTTTCTGGAACAACTCCTGCAGAATTCACATCGGACATCAGACATCCGGAAAATGTTTTCACTCAAACAGCAAACCCGACTGTCAGGTTGCTCAGACTCTGACCTTCAGGAGCCGTGTGACTTCTTGGAGCTGCATTTATCTTCTTGTGCTCCGCATGTGAACTGGGACCAGCCAGCCCAGCCACTTGCAGAGGACCCTGGGTAATGTAGTGTCCGGTGGTCTCCATGCTCAGGCCTCGTCTGCGTCGGCGGGACGGCTCGCTCAGACATCCCTGCGCACATCGGGAAAAGGGATTCCCAGGCTCGCACAGGATGACGTTGCAGATGATGTAAACCTGAGGTGGAATGTGAAGAAACAAAAACAAGAATTTCCTTTACTGTTGACCCAAGGACCTCTGGTGTTTGATCAGGAAGTAGTTTGGCTGTCCTGTTCTTCCTCCCCGATGCCACTCTCAGGAGGATCTGGAAATATCTTGATGTGATTTATAATTTAATGGGATCAGAACAAAACAATTCAAACATCTCCAGAACCTACTTGCTTCACAATAAAAGCTTTTTCTTAAAAATCTAATTGGTTCAAATCTCACCTAAAGAACAAAAACCTCTTTGTGTCAAAAGGAATGAGCAAAAATCACATGTGGAGTACCACAAGGCTCAATCCGACAACCCCTCATATTCATTACAAGCTCTAAATTACAATGTCACCAGGATCCACTGGGGTCGAGTGAAAGACTCAGACCTGAACATTCTGAGACACATAAAGACGGTTAAGAAGTCGGCCTTCTGTCACATGAAGAACATTTCCAGGATTGAAAGGGTGCCCTGAGTAAGATCTGGAAAAATACCATTGTCAGTTTATAGACCACTGAACGCCTTAAAGATCTTCTGCTGTTGTATCAATCTTCCTGACCGCTCAGGTTCTGGTTCTGGTTCTGCTGTGTATTTTGAACCAGACCCAAACATGGAGAAACTTCTATGTACCGCAAATCTGGATTAAACTTCCAGAAAACTGAAAAACAGAAATCTAGACTAAAAACCTGTCTGCTTAGTTTTCTCTGATTCATAACAACTGGAACTTTGATCAACATATTTGATGGTTTTGATGACTGTATGGTGTTTTCATGACGTTTGAACTGTCTTCACTAACAAATCCTTTCCGCTCCAGTCAGCTTGTTTGGGATGAATGTCTAGCTGGCATGTAGAATCTCTTGAGGACGATAAATTGGCGTCAGGCGTTTATCTGAGTAATCACAGTGCGGATGGATTAAATTTGACAAAGAGGAATACCGTTGGGTCAAATAAGATCGTAGTAAACAGTGAAATGAAGCTTGAGTTACATGGCCACAGTGTAAAAAATGTCATGTGGTGAAGTTGAGGTGGTGGTGGCATCATGGAGGATTTTCCATTAAGTGGAAGGATGAATAAAGGAGAAAGATGGTAAAGTTTGGATGACTCTGGTTTTTCCTACCTGGTCATAATTTCCGTTGAATTTAAAGGCTTGGATCTCAAAGTTGAAGTTCGTCTGGTTTGACGGGTGGACCTTAACCGTCTCGTCTTTGACACACCTGGAAGACAACAGATGAAATTGTTTCTCTGAGCGTCTTCAGCGAGTGTTTCTGAGCAGCAGGACTCACCCGTTCTTGATGAGGTCGTAGTACATGGGGTTTTTAGGGTTGTTGTCCGGAGTTCCTTTGCACGACTCGACAAACAAGGTGACGTTTGGCAGCTCTGACACGGCCTGGATGCCCATGTAAATCATCTCCATCATCTTGACCTGCACCGGGTAGGCGTCGGGCGGCACCCTGCTGGTGAAGTTGCCGTCCTGGAATATCTCGAAGCTGTAGCCGAAGCTGCCAAAGTTGGACTCGGTGAAGATGTAGTCAGCCTGGTGGAGGTGGTAGAAGTTGGAGACGCTGATGGTTTTGGGAAACTCGCAGTAGAAGTCGATCTTGACATTGTTCCTCCGGATGATGACCTCGTTGGACCGCACGACGGAGTGGATCTCGTTCTTAAAGACGATGTAGTCTCCTTTGTCCTGTTTTAAGGTGAAAGGTCAGAGTGAAAAAAGCGAAAGGGCAGAGAGGAATCGGGCCGAGGTCGTTCTGATTTATTCCACACCTCCAGCTTTGTGCCACAGGTGCTGAAGGACATGGTTCCCACGATGTGGGTGCCGTTGGTGGTGAGCGTGCAGGACGGGTCTCTGAGGGACAGAAACTCCTCACTGATGTCTGGCATGGAGGCTTTCTCCAAGGCCACCGTCATCTTGTTGGGCAAGCAGGTGACAGAGGCTCTGCCTGAAAACCACACAAATGATCTGGTTATCAGGAATGTCACAATAAGCAAGTTTTCTTATTGTGTTACTTAAAAATGGTTTCCAAACAACAGCACAAGAGTTCTGGTGAAAAGTAGACAGAACTCTGAACTGTTAATGTTTTGCAGCAGAAACATTGAACATTGAATATTTATTAAGTGTACAAACTGGATGCAGAAATGAAAACAATGTTTGTTATGAACAAACCTTGCAGGACGGCAGTATGGGTCACCATGACAATGACACATCTCATCTCTGATTGGCTGTGGGATAAAAACAAAGTTGTTGCAGGTATGAAGCCAGTAGAATTAGATAATATCTAAATAACATGGAAAACATTTATTCTGCTTGGTGAGTTTGGACTTTTTGTTTCAGTTTCATTTTTACAGCCATTGTTTTATAGCAGCTCTTCAGATTTCAGACCAATTTTGATCAAAGTTATGACACTTTTTGTTTTAAGAAACATTATAACTCGACTAAAACAGCCAACATTTATCAGCCTAAATCCAGTAACTGAATCAAATTTGCTTCTTAGACACGGTCAAATTTTACCATTTAGATGTCAGTTCAAGCTCCTGTTCTGTGTTTTTAATCTAATGCTTCATTTATTTATTTGGAAATTATTTTTGAAAATTTGGCACCAACCTCTTTGGTTACAATTTCACATCTTATGAACCCTAATTCATTCTCTAATATTAATCTGCTGTCCAGTATTTGCATCATCTCCACAATAAACACAAGCGTTTTATTTTAAACAGAAGTGTATGATGTATACTTTCATTGGTTATGTAATTATTTTACAGTTAACTGCTCAGCAGCATTTTGAATTATACTTTGTTTTAACAATAATGTTTTTGGGCCATTATACATGGAAAAAGGAATAAATGTTTGTCAAAAAAAATCTGAAATTCTGAGATTAATATCAAAACATTTTGGATAAAACTTCTGGAAAATTTGAGATTCTCAGAAGTCTCCTAAAAAAATTAATTTCTGAGTTTGAAAAACAAAAGAATTTCAGAAATCTTTGTTTTTTTATTTCTCCTTTTTTCCAATCTATAATGGTCTGAACACGCAGTTAAATTTTTTTTTTTTACAAAACAATGACTATAAATTAGTGTTAACTGGGATTTGTATCCATATCTAAAGGTGTTTAAGGAACTAATTGGATTAAAATTGAATTAAAAATGATAAAACTCATCCTGAGTACCACTGGTCTTTTTCAGCAGCTGGACAGAAAAGCAGGATGTTTCTGTGTAATGAATTACTCACGTTGTCGCCGTGTCTGCAGTGAAACAAATCGGGACGAGTTTGTTAGCGTCGCTTTCCTGCGGGGTCCAGCTCAGAGTGATCTCTGTTTTTTTCCCGTCTGACCCGCTTCGGAATCCTTGGTCACGTTTTGGGGGCCGCTGACCTGGAAGACCTGAATCCTTCAGAGGAGCAAACAGGACAGGTGAGTAACAGCATGAAACAGGACAGGTGAGTAACAGCATGAAACAGGACAGGTGTGCAACAGCATGAAACAGGACAGGTGTGTAACAGCATGAAACAGGACAGGTGTGTAACAGCATGAAACAGGACAGGTGTGTAACAGCATGAAACAGGACAGGTGTGTAACAGCATGAAACAGGACAGGTGTGTAACAGCATGAAACAGGACAGGTGTGTAACAGCATGAAACAGGACAGGTGTGTAACAGCATGAAACAGGACAGGTGAGTAACAGCATGAAACAGGACAGGTGTGTAACAGCATGCAGAGAGGATGCAGAGAGGCTGCAGGAAGTGGCGCTCCTTCGGTCCGTACTGGGCGTTCTGGGCCTGGGCCTCAGCGTGGAGCTGCAGCGTCTGACCCACGCTGGCGTGGAGAACGTCTCCGTGTGATGGCGTCCGGGACAGGAACATGGGCAGGAGGTCACCGGCCACGCAGCTTGATGTTGCAGAAAGGACTGAATCAAAAACAGAGAGGATTTAATGAAAGAACGATAGTCAAAAAGCATTTAGCTGTTCGATGTTATAAATGTAAAAAATGTTTTAGATCAAATAGGATTATATCGCCTCTCCAGTTTCTTCTGCTATCTTTGTTATTCAGCTTAAAGCCTTTCATATAAAATGTTCTTTTATTTTTTTTTTGTTTAAATAAATAAAAAGATAATGTGTAGTATAATTATAACAGTTTATATTTAATATAACCAGAGACTTTATTCAGCAAAATAAAGTTAAATGTATTCATTTTATTTTCAAATGAATTGTCTTTAATCACTAGATAATTCATAAATGCATTAAATACTGCAATTTGAGATATGAAAACAAGAAGAAGTCAGGAATATTCGTGAGAAGTCAGTGACGTGTCATTATTATTATTAAATGGTTTATTGGCTGAATTTGATGACCAGCCTCACCCTCCACCACGAACTGCAGCGTCAGCCTGCAGAGCGGAGGCATGCTGCTGCTGGAGGCCTCCCGGGCCACCGTACTGCCGTCTGCGTACGTCAGCGTCACGTTTTTGGTGTTGAAATCTTCCACCGTCAGTTCAAAGACGTGTTGGCCAAGCTGGAGCTCACCTGAGCCTCTCAGCGTACAGGTACTCTGAAAAATCAATATTCAAAATAAAAAACGCTGACACCTCTAGTCACCTCATGGTTCTGTCTGTAAAACTCGTTCTATGGATGAAATGCTGTGGAAAGGTCAGATAAAATGCTGTGGAAAGGTCAGATAAAATGCTGTGGAAAGGTCAGATCACCTCATCCAGAGTGAAGTTTGCCAGGGCGCCTGAAGCGAAGCGGCATCCCACCGCGTCTCCATCTGGATCATGAGCCAACAGGCGGAGATGGGTGAAGCAGTTCTGAGAAACCCTGCAGGAACGTTTTCCCATCAGGCCAAACTCTGCACTTTCATATCATATGCCACCAACAAGCCGTGTTCGATGAAACCAGGCGGTTTCCGGTACCGTAAGGACGCCACCGTGGCGGTGACGGGACAGTTGTTGATGCGGTTGGTGTCGGATCGGACCCCCAGGTCCAGCTCTGTCTGGCTCTGCCAGTTGGATTTGCTCTGCATTATTGCCCCAGCAACAGCCGGAGTCTCTGACAAAGAAGTCAAAACCAGGATGTGAAAACATCATCATTGTTCATCGTTTTAGATTTACTATATATTTTTAAAGGTTTCCTTTTTAATTTCTCCAAATCAAACCTAGAAAAATCTCAATTTACTGCCCCAGTCACAGACAGTCACTCTACTACTGCCCCCTGGTGGCCAACATAGGAGACAAACATTATTTTTTGTGTATTATAGATATTAAGTTGAAAAGGTTGCATTTTATGGAATGACATTAATTGTTTAATATAAAACACATCAATATTTCAGTTTATTTGCAGAAAGTCAATCCCCTAAAGTCACTAAACATTGATTGTATTATTATGATTATTAGTTTTGTTTATTGCATATTAAACACATTTACATGCAGTGACTGCAGCATCATCAGTGCATAAAGAAGCAGATCCTTCCCCTCAGAACCATCACTGCTCTCAAAAAACTCAACAAGTCAAATTTAAATTATTGTAAATATTCTGTTGTTTTCATGCACTATTTACATGAACATATTGCATGTCTTAATTGCTCTACTTAGTGACATAATTATCTTAAGCAGTGTATGCTTCCTTTTAAATAACTACACAGCCTTGTTTTCTGATCTTGTAAATTTTTTCCTATTTTTCTGTTTTCACTTTCACACCTTTGTATAAATTCACATCCTTCCATCTGCCTGTTTCTTTGCTGCTGAGTTAAAAAGTAAAGGATATTTCTATCCTATTTAATCATGATAACATAAAAAATAAAACATTAAAAAGAGGAATGTTGAGCATCTTGTGAAATTATTCTTTGGAATTAGTTTTACAAGAACTGTGGACCTTTTAACACATTCTAACGACTTTATCGTCTTTTGGCCTTAATACTCAGCAGGAAAATGTTTTTTTTTTTACTTGAACGGTTTAATGTTTGGCCAAGCTGAATGTAATAATTTACCTTATACTAATAATGTAAACCATCTGGTTCTAATCCCAGTAATAATAACTGAGTCGTCTGAGAACAAAATGTTCTGCAGAAGTTTTGAAAAGAAAGATTTGCATGACCTGAAAGCTTTCTGGTAAATATGAGGAAGCTTCAGCTGTTATTATTCTTCTTTTGTTCTGCTAAAGCTGTGAACCAAACAAAGACATTCAGGTGTTGATGAGGAATGGAAACTCAAAGGAGCAACAATCTGCCGCATTCTCAGGGAGTGGCAACTTTAAACTCTTTGCTTTCTTTGAAATAGAAAGTACTCCTGGATCAGGCGTCTTCGCGTTTTTGTCTCTTCTCAAACCTCCAGGAAGATGGCCGCTCGTACTCAGCCTGGTTCTGGTTCTGCTGGAGGTTTCTTCTTATTAATGAGGAGTTTTCCTTTCCACTGTGGCCACATTTATCCTCAGGATGAGGGATTGCTGCTAAATCAGCGACTTGATGCAGCAAAATGAAACTGATTTGAATAATAAACAGGACTTGATGATGATTATATCAGATTAACCAGAATCTGGAATGAAATGCCTGCAGATGACATGTTGTGCTTTTATACAATATGAATAAAGTGAATGTAATCAAACTCAGTCAGATTACAAGATACTGTTTGGATGGAGAGAGAAAACACTTCCAACTCGGCCTTTAAGATGTCCTGTGTTTCAAATGTATTTGAAGTTCATCACTGGCTGCATTGAGAGCTTGGCAGAAATATTCTCCCCAAATCAGATTTACATTTTCTCTCAATGTTAAGTTTTTTTTTTAACAGAATTGTAAATGTTTTGGTTATTATCAGGATGGCATTGTGTATGAATGAAGCCTTATCAGTAAATTTGCATATCTGAACTCTGCCAAACAGTTTAAAGAAATAAAAATCTCATGTTAATAAAACCCTGGACTTCATCTGGACCTGAACATTTTCACAGAGTTTGGCTTAGAAAGTCAGACTCTACATAAAACTAGAGCAGAGCTGCAACATTTTCTACAACTCATGAACTCAAACTACCAGCAAAAGATCTGAGAAAAGTTTTCTTCACCCTCATTAAAGGCACACTGCAACACTTTAGCTTATTTCCTGATATATATTATTAAAAGTTTAGTTATTCTATTCTGTTATTAATGTGACAGATTATTTTGTGAAAATATTTAAGATAAAACTTGTTTAAAGTTGGGTTATAATATTCCCAATGTTTCCAGTATTCCCAGTGAATTAACAGATAAGATTATAAACTTCTGTCTTTTGGGACATTGAGAAGCTGTAAAATGTAAATAATAATAAATCTGATGTGGATTAAAAATATATTATAGACACTTTAATTCATTTAAACATTTATTACTGATGTTGGATCAGCCAATTATATCTGAATTTTCATTTTCAATGCAGAGCAAACAAAATAGTCAGGCTGGTCATTTCTACTGGTTTTTAATTTCATTTTATTTATTGTATTTTGTTTTATTCACTGCAGCAGCCGCCCCTCAGCAGTTGGTGCCCTGGGCAAGAGCCGGTATGTCAGCTAATCTGCAGGAAACTGAAACATGAGGATCACCGCATGCTGCAAACCTGGATCAGGGAACTGGTTGGTTCTGGTTCTGTTTGGTCAGTTCTGGTTCTGTTTGGTCAGTTCTGGTTCTGTTTTATCAGTCCTGGTTCTGGTTCCGGTCGGTGAGATCTTGACTCACCTCAGAATGAAACTCGTCCCGTTGGGCTGGAATGTTGCTGTTGTGTTTCTTCAACTTGACACCATCGGCCCAAAAGATCCTGGTCCGTTGGGACCGCAGCCGACCGGTCCAGTTCCGTACACACCCCACCATCACAGATCAGACTGGACCGGTTCTGGTTCTGACAGACGTTTCTGCCGTTTTGTCGGTGGTAGAAAGTCACCTGCAGATCCGACAAACAGGAACTAAACATCCAGGTGTTTCTGGAAAACTTGGAACTCACTGAGAGTGTCTGTAATCAGAACTGTGACGATGATGATGATGATAATAATCATCATCGTAATGGAGGAACTGGGTTCCTGTCTAAGAAAGAAATTCAAATAATTTACTTTTTGTCCTTTTTTTCTGAGGACTTTGTTGCCTTTTGACTCGGTTTTATCCCAATAAATTAGATATTTAGATTGTTTGATACCAGTCTATTCAGATAAATTTATGAAAATACGAAAATGTCGGACAGCCAGAAAATATGATTCATGATGTAACTGCTGGTCCCTGGTTCAGGTCTTTCCAGTTTGGCCTTTTATTTAAGCATCATCAGTTAAAATAGTTCAAACTAAACAAGTTCAGCTGAGGAATATTGAGGTTTAGGAACTGAACGTGAATGAAAAAAACAACCAAAGTCCAGAGAAAGCCTTTAGTAAGCCTTTAGAAAGCCGGTTTAAAAAATGAGACATGGTAGTCGAGTTGGATCGTGACTACAATCATAATCTGATTTCCTTTAGATTTACATCAGAGGTTGTAAACAACACATTATTTGACCTGGAAGTATTTTCTTCAGTTTAGGTTTTATCTGGACAGGTTGAATAAGATTCAGACATTTTCTTGACATAAGTCATCAGATGCATCAGGTCTGAGTGACACGCAGGTGTTCAGCGTGCCAAAAATCACTCCTTTGTTTATTTGTGTCTCTTTACCTGACGCGGCCGTTTGGTTTCTCGCCTTGTGAAACAGAATGTAGTGTCTCCCACAAACTCAAACTTCAGTTGTGACACAAAATGCTTTCTGATTTGTTTAGTTCTGGTTAATGAAGATTGAGGATTTGTTCCTGTCTTCAGTTTGGTAGAACATTCAGAATCTGAATCAGCTCTGTGTTTAGTGATGTTCTGTACCTGGTAAGTCCCATCTGCGTTGGCCTGCAGCGGCGCCAGGTTGATGCTGTCTCCATAAAAGCTGCTCGCTGAGCTCGTCCCCAGCAGTGCGACCAGCAGCAGCAGCACGGCTGCTCCTGCCTCCATGATGCCTCTCCGGTCGGATGTGTTGCTGCCAGAGCCCAGCCCGACACTTTCAGCGCCGCAGACGCAGGAAGCAGGAGGCGGTTCCCTCAGTTCATCCAACAGGTCTGACTGGATCTGAGCTCACTTCAAACCTTTCATGCTGCAAAAAAACACTGACGTGACAAAACGTTTTACAGCTGGGAGATGTAATTAACTGAGCCTAAAGTAACTCTGCAGGTCCATGGGAAAATATTCACTCTTCTCTGCTTTCTTTCATGATGCACAGCTGTTTAAAATAATTTTGGAGAATTTCAATGTCCAGACTTTGACTAGGCCACTCAGATGGAGCCTTACTGGTGTGTCCTGGTCCAACAAAGTTTAATCTTAAGGTTGCAAACTGGAACTTCACCATGGTGTGGGGCATGCTGTGTTGCTATTTGAAATCTTTTAGCCTACTTCATGCTGTCAGACTGGCTCTGTTTCGTTTATTTATTGGCTCTATGGGTCCGACAGCAAGTGATCAGGCCAGAGTGTGATCAGTGAAATAAACATAAAGAAGCAGCTTTCACTGCGGAAACCCGAGTTCCTTTAAATCAAGGCTAAAATCCACCTGTTCAGCTTTGCTTTTGAACTATAGTGAACGGAAAATCGACCGACTTTTGATCTTGATGATGTCACTTGACAAAATGTAATGATTTCTGTTTTTTTCAATTTGTGACTTATTGTTTAGAACATTTCTGTATTTTTATGATTTAAAATACTTTGATTGGCCTTGTTGCTGAAATGTTCTATACAAGTGAACTTGATAAATAACTGATTGTTTGAAACTTGTTTTATGTTTGTATTTTCAGTATTTTTGTCCACTAATAAAATTTCTTTAAAAATGTATGACAAATAGGTTAAACTAGAAGTAACTTTTAGTCCAGTACTTTTTGCAAAGTACTGGATTTAAAATGTATTAAATTTGCTTCTGTAATCTCTTTGCTTCTTTTGTTTCTGTCCTGCCAATTTGAACATGGAACAAGAGATCCTGAAAATATTTAATGGGGCTTTCCCTTTTATTTATCTGTTTATTTATTTTCAAACACATGATACAAATCTATCTAAAACTTGCTGCATCCTTTTAACTTTACATGGCTGACCAGTAGTTGTGACCATCTTTATGTCACATTACAGATATAATGCTGAAAAGTCCTGTGGGACATGGTGTCCATATTCATTTCAGTATTGTGTGAGAAATTATATTTGCAAGAGTTATGAAGGATAACACAATAATTAACTTAGTGAAGCAAAAAAGAAAGAACATTTAAATATTAACCGTGTATATTTCCATGGGTTATTTGGTCAGTCATCAATAATCGCGTGCAATAATCCCATTATCATTTTAATGCTGATTGGTTGGATAGAATGACAATATTTATTATTTGGAAACCGTAAATAAATGTAAACAATTTTCTGCCTGAAACGAGTATTTTCAATTAAACTGCTGTGGCACAGATTTGCTTTATATATTCATATATATTAATTATTACAGAAGGACTTTCGCTTTTCCATGGTCCGCGCGACTTTCTGTAGTGACGTCAGCTCGTGAAACTTGTGTGGTGGCAAGATGGCTACGGAACCAAATAAGACCGAAATCTTGACGATTTTCAAAAGATTGAGATCAATTCCCACAAACAAGGTAACGGCATTCGATGTCGTTGATCTGTGTTGTTATTTGAGTTTTCCTTTAACCGGCGTACGGTGGTTTAATTTATATATTTGATTAGTAGCAGTCAGCATCTGCTGCTAAGTGGAGCTAACGGCAACTAAGAGCTACCGGGAGCTAATGCTTTTCCATTGAAAACTACGGAGAACCGGGGCTAAAGGCTAACAGGAGCTAACAGCTGCTAGCCAAACCCAAAGGCCACGTAAACGGTTCGTGTTTCTCTGGAAGAAAACCTGTTAGCTTCGCTGCTTTGAAGCCTTGTCACCGGAAAAAAACTTACCGGCTTTAATGGAGTATTGTTTTTATCAGTCACAGAAAACAAATATGAATGCCAATATCGAGTTAATTCGCCGCATTGATTGCTTTGCTAATAGTTTAAGTCAAAGTGTCTGATATGTTCCAGCCCTTAAACCTCAGTTTAAAGTTATGTCACATAGTTTTCATCAAAGCCATTTCATCTGTATTTGTGGTGTTTCTTCATCCCAGTTCAAACCACATATCACTGAAACATGACCAGATGGAACAGAAATAAGATGACGTGTAAGTGAACTGTGATTGATTCACAAAATGTAATAAATAGTTTGGTCTACTCATAATAAATAGTTTGGTCTACTCATAATAAATAGTTTGGTCTACTCATAATAAATAGTTTGGTCTACTCATAATAAATAGTTTGGTCTACTCATAATAAATAGTTTGGTCTATTCATAATAAATAGTTTAGTCTACTCATAATAAATAGTTTGGTCTACTCATAATAAATAGTTTGGTCTACTCATAATAAATAGTTTGGTCTACTCATAATAAATAGTTTGGTCTACTCATAATAAATAGTTTGGTCTACTCATAAATAGTTTGGTCTACTCATAATAAATAGTTTGGTCTACTCATAATAAATAGTTTGGTCTACTCATAATAAATAGTTTGGTCTATTCATAATAAATAGTTTAGTCTACTCATAATAAATAGTTTGGTCTACTCATAATAAATAGTTTGGTCTACTCATAATAAATAGTTTGGTCTACTCATAATAAATAGTTTGGTCTACTCATAATAAATAGTTTGGTCTACTCATAATAAATAGTTTGGTCTACTCATAATAAATAGTTTGGTCTACTCAAGGCCACATTCACCATTTCAGATACATTCATGCTGAAGCTGAGTTTTTATCTTACTTTAAAAAATCTTTCCTGAACAGCTCGTTCTGGCTGATTGCAAATAGTTTCAGAAATTTTAGATTATAGTTATAGTTTGCTAGTTGTTTACCTTCTACTTTCAGGTATAATAACTATCATCTGTGGTATTTGGTTTTAGACATGTGTTTAGATTTAAGTCTTTTGCTGCCTGGTAAATATTCATAGATTAAAACCCTGACAGCGACTTGGAACCATGACAAATATTTAAAATCTCATAATTATAAGTTAATTTGATGCTTGTGCCTCAGAGTTCTGTCAGCTTAGCAACTATTTTAGCTATTTTATTTTAGGTAGCGTTGTTTAACTTTGTTTATTAAAATAAGATATAACTTAGGAACATGTGTAATGATACATACATGGATATGATCTTCAACATGTCGCTCATCAAGCTCTTTCCATCATTCACTGTGTTGGTAGTTTTTTGTAACATGTTTCTAAATGACCTGGCGTCAGACTGTAAATGCAGATACATCCTCAGTCTGTGAGGAACAAAAACTGACCTAATAAGTGACTCAACATCTTCAACCATGTTTGAAACTACTTGTTCTTGAAGTTGATGCTTCTGGTTTGTTTGCTACTTTCAAAGATCTTCTATTGTCTACTTGGAAGTTTATTTCTGTTCACTGAATCCGGTTTGACTTGTTCTCATAGGAATCTTAAATCATTTAGGGATGAGTGAGTCACATTGATGAAGGCATTCCACAAATACTGATGCTGAATTTCACATCACTCACATGTTTGACCTTGAGGTGGATCCAGCTCTGAGGAACACGCTGGTTTCATTTAGCATCTGTTCCCCAACACAGGCTGAGAACCTGAACTTTGTGTTTTATTGCTTAACGAATTCCTGAATCGTTACTCTACAAAGTTCAGTCGACATATTTTACTGAGCCAACATCTGTTACTGTCACCACATGCATGTTCAGGAGGGTCAGTGAATCCATGAAACAAACTCTTTTCATTAAAAAATTTCCTGAATAGATAGATAGATAGATAGATAGAGATAGATAGATAGATAGATAGATAGATAGATAGATAGATAGATAGATAGATAGATAGATAGATAGATAGATAGATAGATAGATAGATAGATAGATAGATAGATAGATAGATAGATAGATAGATAGATAGATAGATAGATAGATAGATAGATAGAGATAGACAGACAGACAGACAGACAGACAGACAGACAGATAGACAAGTGCATAATGGACACAGCAAAATGTAAAGCATTATAGAAATTGGTTATATATTTCTGTTTTTCTGGAGATTACCTTTGTTCTGAACCAGAGCTATTTAAATAAACTGTATGGCAAAGTTGCATTAATTTAAAAAATATGTGTACTTTTATAATTTTCTGTTGCACAAATGATCAAATAATTATTGGTCCATCTGCAATCTCTCATTTCATCCAGAAAACCTTTGAATACGTTTCCAGGTTTGTCTGTCTTGTAGTTTAGAAAATATGCCTAAAAATGATAATAATTGGTAAAAATACTCACCGACATAATAAATGTGCACACAGTGAATAATAATAAAAACACATCAAATGTGCAAGTCTGCACTCTGCTTGACTTTCTCAAACTAAAACATTGAACAAAGTAAATGGACAAAAATACAATTTTTCTTTATTGTTTTTGATTGTCATGTCATTTTATTTTGGATATTTAATATAGTCTTCGGTTCCAGTGTTCAGTTTTATTGATCTTTGATCTGATCAGAAACATAATCATTTTACCAACAGCTCTTATGAGACAAAATTAATTAAAACTAGCTTGTTACAAAAATCTGTTCTTTACAGAGCAATTCAGCAGAGGGTTAAATTACCTAAAGACTTTCCATTTAAAAAGAACATTCTTTTAAAATAGCCCTGAAATCTTATTTTTATTAAATATTATTTTTTAAAACTAGCTTTATGTATGTAATTTGTTAAATCTGATGTCTGGTTAATCTTGTGATAATATTGTTGATGTCAAAGTGATCTATGAATACTTTTGTGTTTTGGACACTGGAAGATTAATAACCACTTTGATGTAAACTAAAGGGGATTTTAATGAATAAACAAATCAATATATAACTTGAAAATGGTATCAAGACAACAATATTACTTCTTATTGTCCATCAGACTTTATCATGGCAGACCTCCCCATGCTTTACTGTTTAAAGTGTTGTTGTTTTCTGCTTGACTGCTGGTGAGTTTTTTCCTCTGCGATGTTGGACATCAGGAAACTTTATTAATTACATTTATTGCCATTTCTCAGTGTTTTTAGCAGTACAACCAGATGAATTTGTGTTTTTTGTGCAGACTTGCTTCGACTGCGCTGCCAAAAACCCGAGCTGGGCCAGCATCTCGTACGGCGTGTTCCTGTGCATCGACTGCTCCGGCATCCACCGCTCGCTGGGCGTCCACCTCAGCTTCATCAGGTCGGCCTCAGACCGCCACCGCTCAGCAGCTTCAGCATGTAAACGCCGATGAGCGGCTTCAGTCTGACACGGTTCATCTCTCCTCAGATCCAGAGTTAGACTCCAACTGGAACTGGTTCCAGCTGAGATGCATGCAGGTCGGAGGGAACGCCAACGCGGTAAGATCGCCGCTCTGAGGTCAGCTGAGGTTTGGCCTCCTGGCGCCATGGTAACGCTTTCCGCTTCCTCCTGAAGACGGCCTTCTTCCGTCAGCACGGCTGTTCCACCAACGACACCAACGCCAAGTACAACAGCCGCGCCGCCCAGATGTACCGAGAGAAGATCCGGCAGCTGGCCAACGCGGCGCTGTCAAAGTACGGCACCGAGGTGAGAACCAAGATGGCCGGAGATAAATTATAGAGAAATCAGATCTACTGCTAATGCAGAGAAGAAACAGCCTTCATCTCCTTCTGTCTGCTGATACAACCTGAGCTAACAGGATCTTTGACTTGTTACAAAATGCTGATAAACACATTTATCAGTGTGTGTGTGGCTGTGTGTGTGTGTGTGTGTGTGTGTGTGTGTGTGTGTGTGTGTGTGTGTGTGTGTGTGTGTGTGTGTGTGTGTGTGTGTGTGTGTGTGTGTGTGTGTGTGGCTGTGTGTGTGTGGCTGTGTGTGTGTGTGTGTGTGTGTGTGGCTGTGTGTGTGTGTGTGTGGCTGTGTGGCTGTGTGTGTGTGTGTGTGTGTGGCTGTGTGTGTGTGTGTGTGTGTGGCTGTGTGTGTGTGTGTGTGTGTGTGTGTGGCTGTGTGTGTGTGTGTGTGTGTGTGTGTGTGTGTGTGTGTGTGTGGCTGTGTGCGTGTGTGTGTGTGTGTGTGCGTCTGGCAGCTCTGCACATCCTGTCCAGAGTACACAGGGTGTGTAATCCCTGCAGTAACTTCATAAACGCATCTTTAACATTAGAATAAAAAGAAAAGTGATAATTGGAGTAATAAAGTTCTGCTGCTGTTGCAGCTGTGGATCGATTCGTCTGCAGGAGGAGCGTCTGCCCGCCGAGAAGAAGGACGACGATTTCTTCGCTGAACATTCACAGGTTCCACTTGTTCCCAACTTTATTTAAGAAGCTACTTTCACATTTAGTCATAATAATAGAAATAATGATGATAATAATAGCACACTTTATTTAAAATATGAGGATGTGAGAATAAATGATGAATAAAAACATTTTTAATCATCTGTTTGTAAACAAAATACACTAGCACTGAAAATAAAATATTTAACTGCAATATTATTCAATTCCTTCAGGGTTAAATTTTTTTGCCAATCAAAATCAATGAACTTGTGGTGATACTTTATATTATGAAATCTAGATATAGAAAAAAAGATTAGAAGCAGACTGGACCCCAGAAATATTTTTCTGTTTTAAAGAACTTAAAAAGCTCAATTTTTGCAGTGATTTGTTGAATTTACATAAATTTCCACAATGGCAGAATTACGAGAATCTATACAAACTAATTATTCTTGAGAAAATGAGATGTCAGGTTGTAGTTAAAGTTGCCAGCTCTCCAATCAGCCTGACTATCTGAGAATCAGCTGTTTGGGTCAGAGTCCATCCAGCTGAGCCCAACATCGCAGCCTGCAGGTCATAACAGCCCAGCAGGGGGTGGCACTGATTGTTCTGGTTAAAGCTTCAGAGAACAACATCCGTCACCTGTCAGCCGGGTTGGAACTGAATCATCACCTGTGCATCTCTTTATTCATCAGCAGCCTTTCTTTTCTTCTCTCTGTTCAGTTTTCTGATGAGTGGAGCATAGCGCCCCCTGCAGAGCAGAACGGAGCCGCTGTTTGCCCCCAGCTGACCGACCCGGCGCCGAAAGCCCAGGATGACGGCCGTAAGTGAAGCACAGCAGTCTGAGTTTTCACCTCGACGGTTCCTGCTGGTGATGCAGAACTTCATGTGTCCTGTGTGTTTAATCCCAGGATTTAACCGGATTACCGGAGATGAAGCAGGAATATCAGAAAGACAAGGAGCACTAAGCTTTTTACAAACACTCAAACCTTTAGTTTCACATTAATGGAAACACAAGCAGGAGCTTCTCCTCAGATTTCATGAATTTTTCAGCTCAGATGAGTTAAAATTCATCTTGTTTGACTCAAAACAAGAGTTGTTTGTTTGTTTTTGTGTTTGTTTGTTTGTTTGTTTGTGTAATAACCCTAAAACTAACTGCAGTTGTAGTTTTTTGATCATTTGGACAAATTTTTGGGGAAAAACGTTGCAAATTCTGCAGATTTTTAATTTAAGCATTAATGACAGAAAATTAGAAAAGTGTTACAAGATGCAAAAACCCCAAATTTCTCTTAAATAGTAAAACAAACATTTTGTTTCCTAACATGTAATAACAGCAATCTGAACCTAAAACTGGAGTTTTTCAGCCAAAAAGGTTTTTAATCTTTAATGCAAAATGTTTGCATTTTGTGCAGTTTTGGCTTCATTGCAGCTCTGAATATGATTTATTCAGCAAATGGTCTTCTTGAGTCTCCAGTTAAGAATTAATTGATCACTAAATCAGTTCATGATTATTTCAGTAGACCTGAACTGTTTCTGCCCTACAGCGTCATTTTCCTCCAATAGGTTTACATATTTGATGTGAACATATTTGATGTGAACATATTGGATGTGAACATATTTGATGTGAACATATTTGATGTGAACATATTTGATGTGAACATATTTGATGTGAACATATTTGATGTGAACATTCTGCATGCCAACAAACATGTTCACCTCTTT